TTCAGCAAAAAACACACTAATGAAAAGGGTGAAAAATTTGATAGCTCAAATAATCAAAATCAACAACAGCAAGTGAATCAAGCTTTAAATAAAAACAATCCAGAATCAACGGATAATAACAATGATAATGATAATGATAAAAAGGACATAGAAATGGCTCGAAATAAAATAAAAATGGAAAAATTGGCAGCAATAGCAAATAAATTGCTTGAGAATACAAATAAGCAACAACAAGATGACGATCATGGAGGCATCAGAAAAATAAAGATTCTTCTTTTAAATAATAATGGAAATTTAGAGCAAATTGGAACCATTGGTAATGGTGGTAGGAGTAACAGTGAGAATTTAAAGGAAGGTGATGATGGAAAAAAAGAATCATCAGATTTTGATTTGGAAAATTTATTAAATAATTTGGGAATTTTTAATACAAAACATGAAAAAGTGTTATTTGAAGAACAGAATAACCAAAAGGGTCATCAAGCAAAATTAAGTAAGATCTATGAAACAAGATTTGACTCTGATGTTGTGGATGATACAAGGATTGATGCGGACAATGAAGAAAAGAAATAAATAAAAACTCTTAAGAATATTTAATTGATTATCATAATTGCATATTCACAATGATTGGTGTTAGCAGTAGAAATAGTCATGTATTTTTATCTAATGAGTCTAGAGAGGAAGGCGATTAAGTAAAATGTTTATTTTTGTATAATCCTCATTCAAATTTAAAAAATAAACTTTCTCAAACCATTCTTTCATTATTGTAAATTTTACAAATTCTTAAAACATAAAACTAAGTGAAAATAAATAAAATAAAATGCAAACCATTTAGATATTGAATATCAGTGGAACAAAAGTAACAATAATACGAGATGTTTATAATATGAGTGTATGCAACTTGGAAGTTTTATTCAAGAAACTGATCACTATTCCAACCAACACATAGGAATATGAATATTTCTTTGATAGGATCCAAATACTATTGTGCTGATGAGCTTTATTGAAATTAGAATAGTAGTAATAGTAATAGTAATAATACTGGTGAAAGATGATGACAAGGCCGGAGAAGTAAATGAAGAAGAAGATCAAAATGTAGATTTTGATGACGACAATAAAATGTTAACATTAGAAATGATGAAAAAAGAATTAGATTATTTTAATATTGAGATGAGCATGAAAGAATTGAATTTAGCAGAGAAAGCAGCAGCAGAAATTTTTACGAAATTTATTAAAGCAATTGAAAATCTAATCTATGAAGCAATTAGAACATTCTCAAGCTCTATCACAATCGAATTCTTTAGTTCTTCAAAATCGCCCTCAATCCAATTCAATGACACACCAATGAAAGATAAACTTCTTGAATACAAATTTATTGGTTATGGGATTTTAGATCACTTTGATGAAAGTTACTTATCAGATTGTTTAACCAGAAGTTTTCCTTTTATGGATGTATATCTTGAAACTGAAATAAAATATAATTCTTGTGTGATTTACTTGTTTGGTTTTGTTAATACACAATCAATCAAGAAGAAAATAAAACTTTCTTAGATAATTTATTACTTATTTATTAATTTATTATAGCAATGTAAATATTTATTATATATATATATATATATATATGTAATCAATCATATTATGTCATGATTCATGTTACATAAAAAGAAATAAATTTCCAATAACTGGTTGCTGTCGAACGATTTTGTTTCCCTATTTCTTTTGTTAATAACGAATCTTTTTTTCACGTTTGTATACTACACTCATTGAATGTTATGATGAATTATAATTTAAGTTATTATATGCTTCTGTTATTTTAGAATATTAAAGTATCTTCCTTATATGGGACAGACTGCAAAATAATTTCAGGGTTCAAAATGTTGAAATTTGCTAAACGCTACTAATGTAATATGATTATTAAAGATAATAACAGCCTATTCCTATATACATAGGATTGATTATCTCTGTATAAAAATACAAATATGAAATTAATTTACATCAAATTCATCATGGAACCCAAGAATTACATCATTATTAGAAGGATTTAAAAAAAAACAAGGTAAGAAAATTCCCTTATGTTTTCAAAATAAAATAAATGGTGTCCAATGGGAAAAGAAGACAAAACGAAAACGAACAATTCCTAATATCTTTGGAGGAAAAATAATATGGGTAAGATCTTATGATTACATATTAATTGGGAAGTCCTTTTCAAGTAACATCAATAAATAAAAATAGCTAATCATAACCAAATAGACTTACCATCAACATTTTCTTCTCCTTTCACATGTGTGTATT